ACTTTTATTTTTACTTTTAAGTTGATGGTCAATTGAGCAATCGAGAATTTGTTGCTGTAATGAAAAATCGCTTATTAAGAGGTCTGGAGAAACCAAAAGATACTGGTTTTGTTAAGTTTATTCAATCTGTAGGAAAATGTGCTCAAGAGAGTACTCCTAGTATTTTTGACTTGTAAAACCCATTGTTATTAAATTAGAGTTAAGTTTTATTAATATAAATGTATATCTTTTTTTATAACTCTTAACTTATTTTTAGCTCTTTTTATTGTTAAACTAACTTATACATGTCTAGTCTCTTTAATCATGCAATTTAATTCTTTTTCTATGGTATGATCTAAATATGGTTGGTATGTCCAACATGAAAGATAAAATAACAGAATATCAGGGTCTGTGCTATCTGCTATTCTCAAGAGAAGACTTTGATGAAGTTTTTGTTCTTTTTGATAAGCTCTTAATATTTTCTCAGTTACTTTACCTATAGAAAAAATATTGAAATTAATTATGTGTTTATAATAAACATTTTTTTTTTGTCTAATCATACAAAAATGTTCTGCTGTCCATGATATGAAAAATGGTGTCATATTGCCTTTTTCTAAAACTGATATAGCTGTCAGATTCCGTAGTTTAATTTTGAGCCCTTCGACAATATCAAACTATAAAAACATTAAAAAAAAAAAACAAATATAAAAAAGTTAATTTAATTTTGAATACATAGACATAGGCATGTTCAGGCACATTACTGTGAGTTTTCATGGGTTAAWGTTCAATATGCCTCAATCATAGGTTATATTTGTGATAAATATTAAATATACCTAAACTATTCAATTCAATTTTAGATAGTTGAGGAATCCAACAAATCACTAAGTACATAATTTTTTGTTTTCATGGTGAATCCAGAACGATTATTATTTGTTACCTGATGATTTTTACTTTTTTTATGTTCAAACTGGTGATTTCTGGAAGAAGTGTTTTGTACTTAATACATTTTTGTAAAATTATATTTAATTTTTCTGTTAATTAAATTTACATTAACAATGAATTATACCATAAGTAAAACAGGGKAGGAGATGCTGAAAAACATGAAAAAAAAATTGAGTATTGAATGATACAGTGAAATTGTGTCCAAATATTTAAAACTTTTTATGCAAATTAANTTTTTACAATCTTATCACACATAAATATAAACAATTTTTTTTTTGAAAACAATATATTATTTAAATATTTTTCATATCTTCCTTGATTAAACTTAATTGAAAGAAAAGTTTTTAAAATTTAAAACCACTTTACTATTATGTATTTATATTGTGTATTACTAAATAGTAAATACTAATACATAGGTAAAAAACAAAATTAAATTATAGATACCTACCCTAAAACTATTTTATAAATGCAAAATATTAATAGATATATTAATATGTCTGTAATGATATTACCCATACAAAATTTTGAAAATAATGTCTYTTATGAAGAACAGTGTATACTCTCAAATATATTTATATTTAAACTATCAACATATAAATTTATAACTTGTATAAGTATTGTCTTTAGATGACACAAGCATATTTAAAATTAAAATATTAATCTAATTTTTATYTGATATTAAATCTGAAACAAGGTAGGTTGCATTACTAAAAAAAGCCTATCAACTTAAAACAAGTTAAAAAATTAACTTAAAAAATTATTCTTTATTTCAGATATGTGGCTTACTAAACTACGCCCAATTTTGGGTTATGGGTTATATTCAAGACAAATCTTATTAAAAAACCATGGAACATTTAACAAGTTCACTGTATTTCCTGCTGCCAAATTAGATCATCGACGTAATTATAAGGATTTTGGTCATAGGAGAGATCCTCCAGAGCATCCTTTAAAAAAATGTTACCTTTTGGCATTTATAGGCTTTATAATCTATCAATTTATCGATTGGGAAAAGTAAGTAAATTTATATTTACTCATTTAGTGTTTAAATTGTTTTTAWACAAAAAGGTGCTGTATTCATTTAAAAAATAAGCTATCCCCATTCTATAACATTTTACTATTAATTTTATTTATATTATTCATGAATTATACATTACCACATTGATAATATTGATCTGTTGTAGTGTTGTGAACAACATAATTAATATTAACTAATGATTTAACATATATTTCAGAGTTATTGAGGTGACATTTCCTCCTGTAGATGCTGACAGCAATGTTGATACTACTGAAAATCCAGCAGATGAAATCCTAGAAGAAGCTGTAGACAAAAAAAAAAAAAAACCTAAGCAAATAATTGGATTTCGAGATCGAAAGGTTTTTAGTGTTTCAATGAAAAATCAATTAATTATAATAATAATTATTTTATTTTATTTCAGATTATAGAATATGAAAACAGGATACGTCACTTTTCAACACCAGACAAGGTTTTTAGATATTTTGCTACCCTACAAGTAACACATATTATGCATGCTAATGGACAAGAAACCCATGAAGTGTTTATGACACCAGATGACTTCCTTCGCTCTATGACACCAGGAATCAAACAACCAGATGGACTAGGTCTTGATCAATATAAAAAATATGACCCAAAAGTACAATATTAATTAGTTATTTCAATTTGTAGTTTTTATAGTTATATGTTTTAATGATTTTTTGTCGTTATTAACAGTATTAACCTAATTTTCTAGAATACACACATGAAATTAGAATTGGCACTAAATGAAGACAGTATATTCTACAAACTTGGAAGTTCKGGTCTAATAACTTTTTCGGATTATATATTTTTATTAACTGTACTGTCAAGTATGTGCATCAATACATTTTATTTATTAATTATTATATCCAGGTTATAATTTTAGCATCAAAAAGACATTTTGAAATTGCATTCAGAATGTTTGATTTAAATGGCGATGGTGACGTAGACTGTGAAGAATTTGAAAAAGTTGCTACCCTAATCCGACATCAGACAAGTATCGGAAGTCGTCATAGAGATCATGCAAATACTGGCAATACATTTAAGGTATGCAAAGCTTATAAATTAGTATTTGTTTTCTCATATTTTATTTGAATATTATTGACAGGGTGTCAATTCAGCATTAACAACTTATTTTTTTGGTGAAAACCTTGATGAAAAACTAACTATAGAGAAATTCCTCGATTTTCAACAACAATTACAGACAGAAATTTTAGGTTTAGAGGTAATTTATAAGTTAAAATATTAAATTATTTATTTAATACTATATTATGAACAATTAAATTTAGTTTCAACGAAAAGGCCCTAGTGATGATGGTACCATAACAGAAGTAGAATTCACCGATCTACTTCTAGCATATGCTGGATATGCACCAAAAAAGAAAGCACGTATAATCAAGCGAGTGAAAAAAGTGTAAGTATTTCTTAAGTAAATTCTTTGGTATCCCACTTAAGATAATTCATWTTTACCTCATATAAAATATGGTTATGTTAATATATTGTGTCTAACACAGAAAGATCATGGAGATTTGTTAAAAATCATATTAAAATCTAAAATTATTTTTTAATCAATCCCAAATTCTATCAAACTGATTAGATAAAAGATTTATYAATTTAAAAATTTAAAAACCATATATTATAGTATATTGAATTGATTTCAGATTCAAGGACAATACTCAAGGCATCAGCGAAGAAGACTATTTACATTTTTTTCACTTTTTGAATAATATAAATGATGTAGATACAGCTCTTACTTTTTATCATATTGCAGGAGCATCAATTGATCAAGGTTTATTTCATTTATCATCATAAATAATTGTTATAAAAATATTAATGAGTTATTTTTTTTTTT